GTTCTTTGCCAGTACCAGGCTGTTTTGATTACAGTGGCTTTGTAGTATAACCTGATATCTGGTATTGTGATTCCTCCTATTTTGTTCTTCTTTTTTAAGATTGCTGTGATTATCCGGGATCTTTTTTGGTTCCATATGAACTTTTGGAGTATTTGTTCTAGTTCTGTGAAATATGTCGTTGATATTTTGATGGGGATTACATTGACTCTATAGATTGCTTTGGGTAGTATGGACATTTTAATGATGTTAATTCTTCCAGTCCATGAACATGGTATATACTTCCACTTTTTTATATCTTCCTCTATCTCTTTTTTCAATAACCTGTAGTTTTCTGTAAGAGGTCCTTTACTTCTTTGGTCAAGTTAATTCCTAGGTATCTTACTTTTTTTGCTGCAATAGTAAATGGGATTGTTTTTATAGTTTCTTTTTCTGTGAGTTCATCATTGGTGTATAAGAATGGCGTCAATTTCTTGACATTAATTTTGTATCTTGCTACTTTGCCAAATTCATTTATTAAGTCTAGTAGATTCCCCCTCCTCTTTATTGATTTTAGAAAGAGAAGAAGGGAGAGGGAGAAAAGATGAAAACATTGATGAGAGAGAACATTGATTGGCCACTTCCTGCATGCCCCCCACTGAGGATTGGGCCCACATCCTGTGCATGTGTCCTGACTAGGAATTGAACCGGTGACCTCTTGGTGCATGGGTCGATGCTCAACCACTGAGCCACACCGGCCAGACAAGTCTAGTAGATTTTTGATGGAGTCTTTAGTGTTTTCTATGTACAGTATCATGTCATCTGCAAATAATGACAGTTTTACTTTCTCCTTTTCAATTCGGATCCCTTTTATTTTTTTCTTTATGTCTAATTGCTGTGGTTAAGACTTCTAGTACTATGTTAAATAAGACTGGCGAAAGTGGACATCCCTGTCTTGTTCCTTCTTATGTAGTTTTGATTTGCCTTTCTTGTACTATATGTAAAGTTGAACAATTTTGTATATGCTCAAGAACCACTTATAATTTCCCTTCTATGAATTATCCATTGTGTCTTCATTTAATTTCTTTTAAAACTTTCATTCAAATTATAAAAATAATATTTGCTATTTAAAGATTCTCTTGTTGGGTAAGAAAAAAATCCAGCTACATGTTATTTATGGGAGAGACTTCTAAATCAAAATAACTTATAATGATTGAAAATAGAAGAATGAATGAAGATATATTAAACATATGCTTAAAAACAAAGTAGGAGTAACAATATAAAAACAAACTAAATCAAAGCAATTTAATGTTTCATGTTTATAAATGGTGTTATCCATCAAGAATATATAATAGTCATGAAACTTTATGAGCCAAACAAAAGATCTTCAAAAATATAAAACAAGCCCTGGCCAGTTTGGCTCAGCGATTGAGCGTCAGCCTGCAGACCAGAGAGTCCCGGGTTCGGTTCCCACTAGGGGCACTTACCACCAAAAAAAGTATATATATATAAAACAAAAACTATCATAAACACAAGAAAATTTGATAAATCTATATTTATGGGATACTTGAATCTAGTCTGACAGGCACATCTTGCAGACTCCAGAGAGGTGTTATGAGACAACCCCTTGAGTCAGAGTCCCCACTTTAATTCTTGTCATGCTTGTAGGAATGAATTCAAATGAGTGATTCCAGATCATATTTGCATTGTGTTAAGGTGACTTTATTTAAAAAATTAGAGAAAGTGGATTAATTAAAAAATCAAAGCATGCACATTTATTAAAGAAGCAAGGCAGGCAAATCTATACGTCTGGTTTATGAATCACAGATGGGCGCTCAGCTAATCTGAAGAGCGAGTGGGGTGCGAGGTTTCTGCCTTATATACCCTCCTGTCTATAGGTTTTTTAGAAATTCCTCTGTTAGATATCCTGGTACAGTTGAACTCTAAGTTCTCCCCTTTTCTTTGTTATGATTTTTCCGCAATTTATGGGAAGCACCTGGTAATCAAATCCCGACATTGCTGGCTTTCAAACAGTGGGATGAGAGAAAACTATGCTCTTCTTTCCCCCTCCTCCCTGCCGTTTTAACAGCTTCAGGGTGATTGGCACTAAGCAGTCTCTGGTTAGTGAGAAGCTGAATTAAGATTCCTCCTCCCCTTTCCCCACTTCCCTTCCCCATCTTCTCCTGCATTCTTCTGTGAGAAGGAGAGGTTTTAACCCTTTGTTCTCAAGATAAGACCCTGTTACAAGCAGCTTGCAGTGTTTGGCATTGTTTAATTTTCCTGCCTCACTTTCCCTATTCCACTTGTCTCAGAATTTTCCTAGCTTTTCATTGTCCTATAACAGTACCTGTCTCAGACATTACCAAATCAAGTAAACAAAAATAAGTAAGGCTTTAGAGGATTTAAATAACAAAATTAATGTTAATCAACATAATACATATTTTTCAAAAATATACATGGAACATTCAGAAAAATAAGCAAGTACTAGATCATCAGAAACATTTCAATAATTATAAAAAGCAGAACATATACACTCTGACCTTAATGTAATGTAATAACATTATATATTAATAACAAAAGAATGGTCTCTTTCAAAACAAAACAAAACCCAAACTTTAGGTATTTACATGTAAATAAAAACACTTTCCTACATGACTCGTAGATTTAAAAGGAAATGAAAATGGAAATTATAAACTCTTTGGAAATGGATCTTAATGAGAGAAACTTTATTAAATCTTGTTGGATATGGCCAACATAGTATCATGTGAAAATGTATAGCTTTACATGCATTTATTAGAAAATAAGAAAACTTCATTAAGCAATTAAAAAAATATATTTTTAAAATTTAAAAATAAATAAAATAAACCTAGAGGGGAAAATAGAATGAATAGATAAAAATATAAATTGAATTTCTACTTCTGTTAATACTGGTCTCAACTCTCTTTCTAAGAATAACTTGAAAAAATGGGAAAAAAAATATGACAAGCATTTACTCGAAGGTATCAGCATCAGAGGGAAACAAGATAGTAAAGAATTACCAGGCAAGACAGGAGAAGACAGAAATTCACAATTAAGTTAGGCTCAGGCACCACTTTCCTGTTGTGGTCTTTCTGGTTTTCAGAAGAAGCTGAGAAGTGAGTGGTTAGCCTCTTAGGCCCGGGAGGGAAAAGCTGCAGTTCACGATCTCTTACACCAAAACTTTGGGTTGAGACCCAAGAAGGTCCAGGACTGGAAATAGACTAGCTTTCTAAAGGACTGCGGCTCCGCTTCAGAACATCTCACTGCCGTAATTGGATTAGGGTGATCCTGGATTGCTTGTGCTTTCAGGCAACTGTCAGAAACGAAAATAAATCTTCCCTGAGGGAAATGGAATCATCATAAACCTCAAATTAATTCCACCAGAGACAGAGAACACACTTTCTGGCACCCAGTAAAAAGTAACCAGTCCCCCGGTGTAGCTCAGTGATTGAGCATTGACCCATGCACCAAGAAGTCCCTGATTCGATTCCTGGTCAGGGCACATTCCCAGGTTGTGGGCTCCATCCCCAGTGGGGGATATGCAGAAGGCAGCCAATCTAATGTTTCTATATCTCTCTCCCTCTCCTTCCCTCTCTCTTTAAAATCAATAAAGAAAAAAAAAAAGTCACCAGGCCCAGGAAGAAATATAGCACCATGAACAAAAAAACACTAGAAACAATAGACCATAGAAATTGCCCCACATAGGTTGCAGATATTGAAGTTATTGGTCATAATCCTTAAAACAACTATGCTGACAAAATTAAAAGGAATAAGAAAAGATAACATTTGGCATAAAACTAGAAATATAATAAAGGACGTAGATTTGAAAAAACTAATCAAAATTGGATATTGTGCCCTGGCCAATTTGGCTCAGCGGTTGAGTGTCGGCCTGCAGACCAGAGTCCCGGGTTCGGTTCCCACTAGGGGCACTCACCACACACACACACACACACACACACACACACACACAATATTGGAAATTGGAAAATATAATACTAGAAATTAAGAAATCAACTAATAGATTTAACAGTAGATTAGACAGCTGACTAGAGAGTTAATGAGTTAGATGACACCCAAGGACAGAAAAATACAGAAGAGAAGGTAAGAGATAGGAAGGATACAGCTAAAAGGTCTAATATACCTATAAAGTCCTACAAGGAGAGGAGAGATAGAAATGGGGTAGAAGTGTGGCAGGCATGTGGTAGGCAGTTAGACAAACATGAGCAGAGCAAGGACAATGGGCCAGGTACAGAAGGTCACCAGGGTGGAAAGCCCCTAGTGCCCAGCAACAGAAAATTGTAGGATAGGACCTCCTCCTCAGGGTGACCTTTCTTCCCCTAGCACATCGCTAGTCAGCTGGTCATTTGGTTTAGACCCTCTGACCTTTTCTCCCTAGAGTTAACATCTAGGCCTCAGTTGTATTTCAGCTCCAGGCCCAGAAAAGCATCAAAAGCAGACAAGCCAGGAGAGGGCTGACTGACTAATCTGGTCTCAACCTGCAGTTTGAAAAACCCTGCCTTAGCAAATTTGGGGCTGGGTGAGGAGCAAGAGGGGGATTGGGTAAAATTGCATATTAAAAACCTATTTAGTTTGTTTGTTTGGCTTCCCCCTCTTGGAGTCAGATGACTTCGGACACTGGGCCTTTTGTTTTGTTTTGTTTTGTTTTGCTTTCTCTCTCCTCTCAGCGGACTCTGGGATCAGTGTGTGTGTGTGTGTGTGTGTGTGTGTGTGTGTGTGTGTGTGTGTGTGGTAGTGGTGGTGGTGGTGGGGGTAAGTGGGGGATGCTTTAGGAAAAGCCCGCCACCCGTTTAATCTCAGTGGGAGGTTCCTGCGTTGGCGAACCCACAGGTCAAGAGAGGGCCACTCTCACTGGATGGGGCCTCCCAGGCTCTGAAAGCCTCCCGGACTTCCGAGAACTTTTTGTACTATTTTGCACTATTGCTCAGAGTTCGGACCAAGCGAACTTCAAGTTCTCCTTTAGAGTTCTCGGAAGTGCGAGGCGGGGAGTCGCGGGAGAGGCGGCCATCGCCAGAGCTCTCTGGGTCTCCCCAGGTCCCCCTGTGCATCTTCTGCCATTGTGTCGGCTGGCCCCTTCCCTGGGCAGGGAAGTACACAACTGGAGGAACGGCTTGGGTGTGTTCGTTGGGTCCCGTTGGAGGGATTGAGGACCGAGAGATCAAGTGAACAGTAACGGGCCTGACCGGCCTTTGGCCAGCCTTTGCCCGGCCCACCCGGAGCTACCGGCGCCCTTGAACCCGCCCCTCCTGATCTATCCCTGGGCGGGCTCTAGGCGCTCCGCACTCCAGATCCTAAGGCGCGGCGGCGTGAGCTATGGATCGCATTGCTTCCGTGAGCTGCGCGAGGCTACGGTGGGCGCTGCTGGGGACGCGGGTGGCCCGCTTTGGCCTCGGTCCCCTCGGGGCCAGAGCCAAGGCCTCGCTCCCCAACGCCCTCCCGGCGGCCGAGGCAGCCGAGGCTCCCGGAACCGGGCCTGGCGACCGGAGGCTGCGGAGCCTGGAGGAACTTTCAGGACCTGGGCAGCTGCGCTTTTTATTCCAGCTGTTAGTGCAAGGCTACCTTCTGCGCTTGCACCAGCTCCAGGTAAGCGAGCAGGGCCTTTCGACTGGGGAGTGGAGGGTGAGTGAGCACTGGGGCAGAGACGCTGGGGATAGGGAGATGTTGGACAAAAAGTGAAGAACACAGGAATTTAGCTGGGCACTGACTAGGGTAGTGTAGGGGTTTGTGCAGAGGGTAGACAGCCCTTGGAACAGGTCGAGGAGTGTTAAGAATTAGGGCACCAGAAAGGAGGGGACTCGGGAGGCTAGGGTTAAAGTGGACAGAGCTTAACAGAGGAGGGAACTGTCTTAGAAACAGAATGGTAGATGCAAGTATATAAGCTGCCAGAGGTTATAGAATCATCATTTAATTCTGTGGTCATATTGGCCACCATAGACTTCTTCCAAAGGAAATAGCTTCAGGAGGATTACAGAGGTTTAGCCAGGTAAACTGACCCTTAAAGATGTCACTTGTCAGGGAGTGAAAACAAAATCATAGACATTAAGGAAAAGGCGCTTTGTTGTTGTTGTTGTTGTTATTAAGAAATCAATTTCCATAAGAAGGATTTATCGAGAGAACAATATGAGGCAGAGATGAGTGGATAGCCCACTGTCAGTGGACAGAGATTGCAAAACCCAATATGAGAAGTTGGAGAAGTTTTTAGAAAATGAACCAAATTAATGCACCCACTCTGCCCAGGCATTTTTCCAAGTGTTAGGATTCAATGCAATAAAGCCAACACCCTCATGGAATTTATATACTCCTTTGGGGGAAGAGGAAGGTGTGTGTTACATGCCATTGAGTTGGCTACAACTCTTGGTGACCCTATGGATGAGTGATGTCCACAATGTCCTGTGCTCAACAGCCCTGCTCTGCTCCTATATACTCGTGCTGATGGCTTCTTTTATAGAGTCATTCCATCACATATTTGATCTTCCTCTTTTCCAGGCCCTGGACTGGGCTGGTGAACAGACTGGCTACCATATGGCTATGCTGGGCAGTAGTCAAATAGGAGGTGGAGCTGTGGGTATGGGATCTGACGAGGCTTTGAAGAGATTAAGGGCCCTTGATTTCTCCAAGGGTCCATGGTGGGCTTTTGAGCAGACATGGGGTGAAGCTGCCTTCCAAGGGAACTACCCAGGTTATGGTGTGTGCAGTAGGATGGATTAGACAAGAGAGGTGGAAAGGGCTTCAGGTGATGAAAACTTGGTTGCAGTAGTATCTGAACGATCCTGGAAGTTGAGGATGAGGGAGAAAATGACTCTCAGGGTTTGAAGGCCTAAATTGACCACAGTTTCTTTGCACCTGCCCAGGCTGCTGCTGTTTTTCTTGGGACCTTCCCTATTGGGCTCATGTTTCTGAGACTTGGTGGGCAGGTCCTAAGGATCTCAGAAATGGTTAAAAAATTATTCCCTTTGGGCTCAGTTCTAAGAAACTAAATAAGCCAAGAAACCGGAGTTCTGTGTACTTCCTCTGCTTGATTTGACCTCTAGAAATTTGAGAGGCCCAGTGAATGGTTCAGTGGAAGCTAAGGATTTCTCATCATTTCTCAGGGGAAGATTACTGGGAATTTTTACTCAGGATTTTCTCTGGAACAGTAACTACCAAAGAAATTCTAGATGGCCCTAGGAGGAGTAGGAAGAAGCAGGAGAAAGCCAGGAATGTATGGTCTTTTAAAGGAGAGGCCAAGGCTAGGATTTAAGAGAGCTCCCTGATTGAGCCCTTATAGCCCAAAGATCTGGAGTCATATGAACCTGGGCTGTCCCATGGGAATTATATTAGCCCTTCCCATCCACTACATGTGGCTGGTGTGAGTTAATAAAGGGCAGAGTCTTGCACAGTTATAAAACCCAGTTAATAATTCTATTGAGGAATACAATGGATTCCAGTGACCCACCTTGTATCAGTTCAAATTCATTTGGTTGTGACTCACACCAGCTTAAACAATAAAGCAGCTTATTAGTTCATATAATCAAAAAGTCTAATAGTTGGGTGCCCTTCAGGTATAGTTTGCTCTACAGATTCATGAGATCATCAAAACTACAGTTTTGTTTTTCTGCAGTTCTCTTGGTTGTGTCTTGCAGAAGTTAGTTGACAGGCTTGGGTTTATTGTTCGTCCTGGAACACATCATAGTGGCCACAGGCATATTCTAATTAGCTTAGACTCAGTCAGGCTCACCCCTAAAGCTGGGATTGGGGTTTTTCCCTCTAAACTAGGTGACTATTATACAAGGGAGAGGAGTGGAATTGATATAGGGACAACTGAGCATAATGTTCCCTGCACCCTCAGTTGTCAAAACTGCATATCCCACATAAAAATAATCAAATCATTTTAGGGAAGCATTGTAGGACTTAAGAGGATAGAGTGGGAATTAGGAAATGTGTAAACCATGCTAGTTCATAAATGTTAGTTCCTTTCTCTTTCCTAACCAAAATAATGCCAAGGGCGTTGAAAAGTAAAATATAAATATATGTGAAATTTATATGTAAATTTGTATTAAATTGATATCTTTTAGAGGTGTCAAACCTAAGAATGACAACAGCTATCTATTCTGTAGCTCTTATGGTGGACTTCCTGGACTGGTGACACCACCCCCACAATGTCCTGTGCACATACTTGTCATTTCATGTATCATACTTCTATTTTATTTATTTTTTAATCCTCACCCGAGGATATTTTTTCCATTTATTTATTTATTATTATTATATTTTTAGAGAGAGTGGAAGGGGGGCAGAGAATTATCGATGTGAGAGAGAGACACGTCCATTGGTTGCCTCCTGCATGCGCCCCAACCAGGGCCAGGGATTGAACCTGCAACCCAGGTACATGCCCTTGACTGGGACCCTTTGGTCCGAGGGTCAACACTCTAATCACTGGGCCACACCAGCCAGGACCATGCTTCTTTTTTTTTATAGTTACAAATTTTTTTTTTGTGATAAGAACTTTTAAGATCTACTCTCAGCAACTTTCAAATATATAATACAGTATTACTAATTATAGTTACCATGCTGTACATTATATCCACAGGACTTACTTATTTTATAACGAGGAGTTTGTACCTTTTGACCACCTTCACTCATTTTGCACATCCTCTCACTCCCTGCCTCTGGCAGCCACCAATCTGTTCTCGGTATCTATGAGTTCAGTTCTGTTTTGTTTTAAATTTCACGTATAAGTGAGATCATTCAATATTTGTCTTTCTCTGTGTGACTTATTTCAGTTAGCACAATGCTCTCAAGGTCCATCCATGTGGTCGTAAATGGCTAGATTTCCTTCTTTTTATAGCTGAATAATCTATATATCACCTTTCATGTCTTGGTTATTGTAAATAATTCTGCATTGAACATAGGGGTGCATTTATCTTTTCAGGTTAGTGCTTTCCTTTATTTTGGATAAATGCCCAGAAGTGGAATTGCTGGATCCTATGGTAGTTCTATTTTTAATATATTTAAGGAGCCACCATACTGTTTTCCATAGTGGCTACACCAATTTACAGCCTCTCCAGTAGCAGTGAACAGGGTTTCTTTTTCTCCACGTCCTCACTAACACTTGTTATTTTTTGTCTTTTTGATGATATCCGTTCTAACAGGTGTGAGGTAATATCATCATGGTTTTGATTTGCATTTCCCTTATGATTAGTGATGTTGAGCACCTTTTAATGTACTGTTGGCCATCTGGATATTTTCTTTGGAAAAATGTTTATTCATATGCTCTGCCCATTTTTATTTTATTTATTTATTTTTAAATATTTTTCTTTTATTGACTTTAGAGAGAGAGGAAGGGAGAGAGAGATAAAAACATCGATGAGAGAGAACATCAATGGGCCGCCTCCTGCATGCCCCCGACTGGGGATCGGGCCCACAACCTGGGCATGTGTCCTGACCAGGAATCGAACCGGCGACCTCTTGGTGTAGGGTCGATGCTCAACCACTGAGCCACACCGGCTGGACTCCTCTGCCCATTTTTAAATTAGATTGCTTATTTATTTTGTTTGTTTTTTTTGCTATTGAGTTGCCTGAATAGTTTTTATATTTTGGATATTAACCCTTATCAGATATATGATTTGTAAATACTTTTTCCATTCAGTATATTATTTTTTCATTTTGTTGATGGTTTCTTTTGCTGTGCAGGAGCCTTTTAGTTTGGTCCCACTTGTTTATTTTTGTTTTTGTTGCCCTTGCTTTGATGTCAGATCCAAAAAAATTATTGCCAAGAATGATATCAAGGAACTTACTGCTTATGTTTTCTTCTAGAAGTTTTATGGTTTCAGGCCTTATATTCAAATCTTTGATCCATTTTGAGTTAATTTTTGTGTATGATATATGCAAGTGGTTCCATTTTATTCTTTTGCATGTGGTTGTCCAGTTTTCCCAACACCATGTATTAAAGAGACTGTCCTATCTCCATTGTCTATTCTCGTTTCCTTTATTGTAAATTAATCGACCATATATGCATGGGTTTATTTCTGGGCTCTATTCTGTTCCATTGATCTATGTGTCTGTTTCTATGCTAATACTGTACTGTTTTGATTACTATAGCTTTGTAATATAGTTTGAAAATAGGAAGACATGATGCCTCTAACTTTGTTCTTTTTTCTCAAGATTGCTTTGGCTATTCAAGGTCTTTTGTAGTTCCATACAAATTTTAGAATTGTTTCTTCTATTTCTGTGAAAAAATGCCATTAGAATTTCAGTAGGGATTGCATTGAATCGGTAGATTGCTTTGTGTAATATGAATATTTTAACAATATTAATTCTTTCAGTTTATGAACATTGAATATCTTTCCTTTTGCATCTCCTCAGTTTCTTTGTTCAATGTCATAGTTTTCAGTGCATAGGTCTTTCACTTCCTTGGTTAAATTTATTTCTAGATATTTTATTCTTTTATGCAATTGTAAATGTGGTTTTTAAAAAATTTCTCTTTCTCGTCGGCCTGTGGTCCGGAGAGACCCGGGTTCGGTTCCCGCTAAGGGCACGTACTTCGGTTGCAGTTTGTCCCCGGCCCTGGTTGGTTGTGCGGGTGGCAGCCACTCGATGTGTCCCTT